TTGAACAGGGACTGAGCCACCCGCTCCCCCCTCACCTGCAGACCAATGACGCTCTGGCCAGCCTTCAGCTTCCCTTCGTCGAAGCGCCGCGTCTGCTTCTCGGCGTACTTCACGCCGATGTCGATGGTGGTGTGGAAGCCTTTGGTTTTAGCCTGGACGGGAACACACACGGGCCCTGAGCCCCGCCGGCCGAACTCTGCCGAAGGTCTGCCCACAGGCGAAGGCCTCCGGCGCTGCCCACAGGGGTCGGGAAGCCCCGGCAAGGCCGTCGCTGCCACACTTGGGACCTCAGCCGTGTGAGCGTCCGATGGGCTCAACAGCCTCCCACAGAGCTAAGGCTTACGGAGGGGACAGGCCCTCCCTGCCCGTCTGAACTCCGGGGCGGGGGGGAGCGAAGAAGCAGCTCGTCCCGTCCCCCGCGGGGAACCTGCACATCGGCACGGACGTACCAGGCCGGCCAGCGCCACCAGCGTTGTCTGCACCTGGGTCATGTTCCCGTTCTCGAACAGGTCGTTGGCCTCGAAGATGTCGTGGGGCTTCATGCCGTACGCCTGGATGGCTTTGATGAAGTTGCCGATGTTCTCCAGCTGGAAGGAGAGGGTCACGTGGCACCGGCAGCGAGAGCGACCCTGTCACCGGGGCCTCTGCGTCCTCGTGGCTGCTCCCTCAGGCATGGCTCCCCCGGGAGAGGAGCGAGTGGAGGAGAGCCCTTCCCAGGGGGAGAGGCACTGGTCTTTCCTGGGACCCGGCCCACACCCGGGCCTGTTCCCTGACCGGGAATGGAACCCTGACCTCCCGGGTCACAGGTCGACGCTCACCACTGAGCCACGCCGGCCGGGCCTTTTTAGGAATTTTAAAGGATATTTTTTTTAGTTTTGCAAAAACATGCTCTTCCTTATGTGCTTTTAGGAATTCTGTGCCCGTGTTTTCCAGGGCTGACGTGCTCTTTGTCAAAAGGTACATGATCCATTCATCGTGTTTTGGTTTTAACTTACATATAAGTTTGTGGCTGCTAAATGCTTATTCTCTCCTCTATCAAAACACACCCTGCAGACTCAACTGTGCAGTTGGACTGAATCGCACGCATTCCTGTGTGTCACATGGAGTGCATGCTGTGGCCGCCCGATAGTCGTTAAATTCCTCGCTTTCCTCCTGTTTCTCCACCAGTCTAGGTGGCATTGCTATGTGTAAACTTGTCACGTCTTCTCTGAGAAGAGACTAAATATAAGGAAACTTCTAGACGAAACATCTGATAATCACAGAGCTAATCCTAAGGAATCACGGGAGCGTTAAAAACAACATCATACAAAAAACCAAAACACAGCCACCGTGCAGACTTCTGCTAAAATGTCTATTTTGAAAACGTAATCAGGTTTCGCTGCCTAAAAAGTGACCACCTGGCCCGGCCAGCGGGGCTCAGTGGGTGCACATCGACCTGTGAACCAGGAGGTCACGGTTCGATTCCCGGTCAGGGCCCAGGCCCAGGTTGTGGGCTCCACCCCAGTGTGGGGCGTGCAGGAGGCAGCTGATCCATGATTCTCTCTCATCATTGTTGTTTCTCTCTCTCTCTTCCTTCTTCTCTGAAGTGAATAAAAAAAAATATATATATATATATATAAAGGAAATTGTGAAGTAGGAAACACCTACAAGCTTCCCACTTGATTTACCTTAAAAAAAAAAAAGTTACCCCTGAGGGGGTGTTACCTGCCCTGAGGGGGTGTTACCTG